CAGGGGGAGTAATGGGATGTCACAAGATTGAGAATTAATCTGACTAGTACATTGAAAAACATCAAATTGTATATTTCACTACACAAGTTTGACACTTTGAGTTCCCTAATGAGGAAATAAAAATACCATAATATAACAAATACAGTAAGCAGTATAGTTGCTTAATATTGCAATAAAAAATTCCTTAAAACAGCCTAAATTTTTCTCGACACATCCCTGGTTAACCTGCTCACTATTACTTGTTTTTGGGTCACGATCTTACACAACAAATACTGCAACCGTACACACTTCTAGACCAACACAATGTACCAAGCAATTGTTCACATAGAGAAGAGCAGCGAGAGCCGTTCCAACCAAACTACATCAATTTGTCAATATTTTATGGATAAATATATCCCCATGTTTAATGTTTTCTTCAACAGCATATTGGTATTCACATGATAATATATTGTTAGTTGGCTGCTCTAAAATCAAATGCACATCAGAGTAGCTAAATTGAAAGGATGCCAACAATAGAATCTTAATTATGATGTTTTTAACTGTGAGTGGTTGTTTTGTATAAGTTCTAGAGCAAAAAAATAAGACCACCAGCGAAATAGACCTTCCGGCCATCATAGATCTTTGCATTGGAACCTACAAAACTTACATAAGAGTCCTAGACAACTATTCACAAACTATCAGTTTCTGTAATAGATGTAGATACCATTCGAGTCCTAAACATCAGAACCTGGTACATCCATTTTTTTTATTTACATTGTCAGAAACCCAGGATGCCAGGCCTACCTACATTTGATATGGCAACGACCAATCTATCCCAATAAAACTATTTAACACAGCTAAGCAGCTTGAGACACATTTACACGCATATTCAGAGACACCACTAAACTATGTAAACACTTTCTAATCACCCTGTATATGCATACAGTATAAACTATCATCCAGAGACACACCAGAGATTAATAAATCCACCATGCCTGTACACATGACCATTGACATTTATACAAGTGAAGTCAGGATCACTATTAATAAAAAAAGGATATAAAATTGTTTTAACATTATAGAGGTGCAAAACCAAAATAAGTTTCAAATATCCAAAGTCACTACACAAATAACAATATTACCCTTTAACCATAGCAATCACCATGCCATTGGCCAAAAACACACATGCCAATACTACCAATACTACATTATTAATTGAGACATTATAATCTGTATTTGTCATGATTATCCCACATCTTCCACTAAGAATTAGGGTATATCAGAATTGGATAAATGTGTTTAATGGCAAACAGATATCACTGTCGACCAAGGATACAGTATTTTAAAACACCATGATTGAGGTAAGAGGCATTACTTAGGAACAGATGTGAATGGTGTACGTTTTCAAATTTCCAAACTTTTCTATTATTACATACATGGTACAATACAACCAGCGAAAAAAGTGTTGTAGCGAAGTTAGCTGAGATGCTCAAGGATTTATTATTGGTTTAAACATCCGATACCCCCAATCAGTAGAGAAGGGCCACCCAGTTGAACTACCAGTTGAGATTGGAATAAAAAGCAACAGACCAGGAAAAAACAAACCAGGGCAATGGAAGATGCGAATGAAAGTAGTTCCCATATGAAAATATTTGTGTAAACTTAATATTTGCGTCGTATAGTTTTGAAGAGGAGCACACTGACTGCCAACCCACCATAGCGCAACCCAATATAGACTAAGACCTCCTGACAGCTATACACCTCGTTGTGCAGCATAGCAAAAGCAAATTATATATCTGAATGGCCTGTATGCAAAGAGAGGAGGAGGAAAACGAAAAAATGCCCAGGGAGTTTATTAATTTAAGATCATGATTATTAATAAATGGCGCCACCTGCATATACATAAGAGAATGTGAGAATTAAACATGCTTTGAACCCGGACTCTGGGAACGATAAGAACAAACTAACATTCTTACCCTATCAATAATTTTCTATTTTGATATGCATGTTGACAATGCATGCGATCAGGTGTATATGAAGTACACTGTACATGCCTTCAGGCTGCCAATAAACATAAATATCCTATCCATGTTTACGGTGATAACACCAATTATCATATGGACCACTAACCAAAACCAAAAGTTTGCATCAAGCTCTTCCCCTGTGAGTCATGAAAATATAAGCATGCTATAATTTGACTATGAGTTTGCCCTGAATAGTTGCTCTTGTATCACTTTAAATGTTAGTGAACACCAAACTAATGCTTGCACTGTGCTGCCTCTGAACAAGCAGCTGTCATTACATTATGTATTTTAAATAAAGATGATTTAGGAAAATGTCACAGTTTTGTGTACTTTCTTTTTTATCCATCCATCCATTCATCCATCCACTATCTATCTGCTTATCCTGTTCAAGGTTGCCTGTGACTGGTGCTTATCCTAGCTCACACTGGTCAAGACACAGGGAACACCACCTAACTAGCATGTCTGAAATCGAAAAACCCTGAGGAAAATGACAAAGACATTGGAAGACATGCAAACACAGAAAGGCCCCAGCAAGAGCCCAGCAGAGGCCCAGCAGACCAGTGAATTCAAGCCCTCTTGCAAAGGTTTAGAGTCACATGACTTAGACATGAATCAGCCTTGAGTCACAAATTTGATGACTTTAGATTTGACTTGACAAAATCAAAAAGACTTGCAACTTGACTCTCACATTAACACCAAGGACTCGTGACTTCACTTGGACTTGAGCCCTTTGACTTGAAAATATTTGATACCAAGCTCAAAGATTCAAAAGTATGTTACATAATGTACCTCAAATCAAATTATTTCCTAAAACAACTAAAGTTAACATCATTCCTTCTCAGCAAGTCGATATCCCCTACATCCACTTTGTTTGAACCAGTCTGACAGCATAGAACCATGGAAAACTCATGTTACGTTACTGAGTGCCAGTTGGAAAAAATTATAAAATAATTGATTTTTGTTTGTCCTGTTGTTAAAAGGGAATTACATTCAGCAATGACTTGAGACATGTTTTTGACTTGCAAAACAGTGATTTGTTCCTGTCTCTGCTAGTTTCATCATGTCTTTCACCTTCCGTAGACTTTAATTTCATTAAACAAAATGTCCTCTGATGCATCAGCCCAGACCGTTTAGTTTTTTGACCATGACAATATCTGCAACAGAGCACCATATCACTTACACAGTGTATTGGAGTTTTGAATGCGCCACAGTATGAAAATGTGCTTTTCTCTGACACTATGACAGCTCTGGTTTTGTATGTATGTGAGCTTTAATTAGTCTCAAACCCAGAAAGCCAAGCTGTACTGTGATCTCACCAGAGAGGACAACTTGGAGCAGTTCCACTGACAATCAACCAGAGGTGACTTTGTGAATGTAGAGTATTTTCAGCTTTTGCAGACAAACAGGATTCATTTTGAATCTGAACTGTAACCCAAAATTATCCTTAACCGAACCTTAGTCAGAAAAAGATTAGAGGACGTTTATTATACACCAAATGTTACGGGGCAGTTTGTATCACTATGTGCAGTAACCATAGATTGATGTGTCAATCATTTTATCTTTTATTGCGACAATCCTGAGGTAAGGTACTGCAGAAAAATGGTATTCATGTTACAAAGCAATCTACCAGCTGCACGCTTGCACATATTTGACTGGCTCATGCAGCACCATGACAATGCATTGCAGTTACAGTTGAGTCTGGTTCAACTTTTTTTTAGATGACCCTGCCAATTTTTGTTTACAGAGCTCTCTGCATCAGCCCAGTGGTATCATTCAAAGAAGGGGTCTGCATTTTTTCATGTAGAGCTGTTGTTTGAACACAGCCTAAGAAAGGTTTCACTGATAAACATCCTAGTTTACAGACAATGTGTGTAACATAGTTGCTATAGGTCATTATGCAGACAGTAAATTTGAGGCACAGAATTAGAAAATAAATGCTGCTCGTCTATTTTTCAGCATATTATTTGTATTGATGAGTAGTTTGAATCATGTACTTTTAAAATACAATACACTATCTAAGCAATACACCTTCCCTATAGATTGCATTGTCTATATCGTATTTAAACTCATATTCTACAATTATTATTATATAGTCTTGAAATTAATGACTATAAACGATTTAACGACTTAAAAAACGCAAAAAAGGTCAAGAATTCAATAATGGCCGCAATGGGAGTTATATCCGATTAAAAGATTATACAAAACTTTGTTGTGGGTGTATGAAGCCGGCGAAACAGAGGAGAGAACCAAACGTAATAGGCATATTTAAATGTTCTAGTTTCAGTTACACTGCGCACACAGCCCACAGTACGCAATCTTTTTAAACATTTTTTTTCACACCAAGCCAACATCAAGCAAATCGTTGTTTCAAACTACCCTCCTAACGTCCAGTTCCAAACCTTGAGACTACATCTTATAGCTACACAACAACACCAAATCTACACCAAGAGGCCGGCTGCACGTTCTGCACAGGTTTGATTACATATCAGCACTGAAGTCTGATACATACAACTTAAACTTCCAAAGCAGATATATGTGAGGCTGTGTGTGTGTGTGTGTGTGTGTGAATCGGAATGTACTGCAGACCAGCTCTTAACTTTAGACGGGGCAGGACTCACCTTTTTGATGGTCCCTGTTCCCCACCGACGGACAGGATGGACGGACAGACAACAGGATCACAAACCGCGGGGACAAAACAAACAGAAAAAAGAGAGAACATGGACGCAAAGAGAAGAACAGAGGAAAGAACAGAGTTAGAACCATGCAACAACATGTAAAAAGCAACAAAAAAAGGTAAAAATAGAAGTAGGGTATTGGAGAAGATGGATTGACCCGCTCAGATGAAGAGGAAGAGGAAGGACAGATGAAGACAAGAGAAAAGAGAGAGGCCCACCCCACTTGTCCTCCTCCACTCAGGATGCTTTCTGAAATCTGCTCACTCACCGGCTGGTGCAAAGAGAGAGAGAGAGGGCGGGAGGGAGGGAGGGAGGGATGGAGTGATGGAGGGAGGTAGAGGAAGGGGGAGGGAGGATAGAGCAGGTCGGAGTGTGGGGTGAGAGGAAGGTTGGTCAGAGTAGGCGATGAAAGTGGTGGGTGGGAGAGGATGGAGGTATGAAGAGAGAATGAAGGGAGTGAAGGAAGAGGCTGAGAGCTCAGTGTCCCCTCAGTAGCTGTGCTTGGACCGGCTCAGCTGTGTGGCTTCACTGCAGCATTTCACTGCCTTGGCCGTCCCAGAAACAGATCCTCCACTCCCTCCCTCTCTCATCTCACCTCCCTCCTTTTGCCTCCTGTCATCTCTCCTCCGCTCGCTCCTGTCGTACCCCCCACCTTCTCTCTTCCTCCCCCGGTCCACTCTCGCCTCCTTTCCTCCTGTACCCATCCCGTCTTTTTTCTCTCCTTGAACCTCTCTTTCCTCTCACCACTCCTAAACCCTAACGCCCTCCTCTCCTCTCATCAGTGTAATGTCCTCTTCTGCTCCGCCTTCTTTCTATACACAGCATCCAAGGTCACCCTGTCCAGAGGCAGGTGTGTGCGTGTGCTCACATGTGACTATGTAACGGTGTGAATATGCAAAGAGGCACGTGTGCATCTGTCACTGCATATCAGTCTCCCTGTCTTCATATACATGAGTTTATTTATGTATTTACCTCCAGTCAAAGTATTTATAGATTGCTCTATTAAACCCCCCCCCCCCCACTTGAACCTGGAAATGCCAAGCGTGTGTGTATGTGCGAGAGTTGCAGAGGTCAAGCATCCATCATGTCAGTATGGATAGTTAAGGAGAAACCTTCACTATATGTAATCTTTTTCCCTATGTATGTATTTTGAAATACAGTATGTCATACAACAAATGTATTTGTACTTTCTATTAAAACTGAGATGCACAATAAAACACAAATTAACATTATGTTTGCTCATTGAAAAAGCAGTTTAATAACTGTCAGACTATGAGATAATCACAGAATACGCTACAACCCACAATGTGCCAAAACCCGAGGGAGCAGAAAGTGATGCCAAAACATCTCACATATCTGTGGTGCCAAGTCATCACAGAAATCACAAAAATGTGTTGTGTGATGCCAAGCCATCACAGAAATGTGCAGTCCTGATTTCAAAAGGTAATTAGGTGTTGCCGTAAAAAGAAACATTGTTGAAGCTCCGTATCAATGGCATTTATACATTTCTTTCTTACATAACATATACAATGGATTTCTATTGCTCTCGACGAAGTAATATCACAGGCTCATATAAACCTGAAGCAACCACAGCCACACAAGAGAAACAACCAAAGAAACAGCATAAAAACTCTATACCACAAAGGTATGCACATAAATATGTTTAGTGGCTAGCAAGGAGAGGATTCAAGCATCTGTGCTTGCAGCCAGACAGGCAGGTCAAAGTGACGATGTAGTGGGTGTACTGAGTCTGAAGTGACTGTGGGGACTTTGTGTATGATGCATGAATCATTTTCTGTGAAATGTGGATGGACCAAGGATTGGGTTCAATTATGTTCCACAGTACAGTAGGTGCTGGTGGGGTTATACATGGAGTGCTAGCAGATGATAAACAGTCCCCTCCGGCATGCCTGTGCACTACAGTGTGCTGATCAAAAGTCAGTTCATCCACAAATGTCCAACAAGGTATTTGAACTCTAACAGATGCTAAAACCCTTTGCTTGCTCGTGTTAAGTTTTACTTGCACTTGTGTTGAGTATAGAGACATTTGCTATAGGTGTGGGCCTGTGTGGCTCTGATGCTGGTGATGACACAGTTGATGTGTGTTGATGCTCGATGGGTGAGGAAGTCATGAATCCTGTGAAGGTCAGCCTGCACATTAGAGTTGTGGGCTTTGGTGATCCTTCACTGCCACTGTGCTGTGTTGAAGGATGAGCTGAGATTTATGAAAGGTGTGGTATGATAGTGTAATGTCCTGGTGGCTCCATGTTTTGTAACACGGTGTGAATGATACATTACTGCCCCTATGTGCCTTTCAGGCAAATTGTAAGGCATGTAAACTAAAACCAGTTTCTTAAGGTGGTTTGTGACAATCTGAATCAAACCACAGAACGCAGATCAAGGTCACTGGTCTTGCAAACTGAGCTGTGGTGCACAGTTTGGTGTACATCTACTGAGCTTCAGACAAAATTTTGTGTTCTAAAAAACAACAGGTAAAAAACTACAGGAGGTGGACGCTTTCTTTGCATTAAGAGAGCTGTAACGTGTTACATGTGGGGGGGAAAATGGAAGCAGTGTGAGGAACTAGTAACAGCTGGGTGCTAGCAAATTTAGCTACAGACAGAGTTGTTGATTTGTAGTCCAAGGAAATCATCATCATAACATTAAAAAATCATCTACCAAAAGTCTTGTGCAATGTCAAAATGCATTGAAATTCTATATGTGGTCTCCTGTACAGATTTTGATGTAGGAGAATGTAAAAAAAAAACAGGCCTGTGCTTGTATGTGTATTATTTACTAAATAAAACTAATGGAAATGAAATAAATCTGGTGCAACGATACTCAAACATTATGTTCTTTAACAAACTCAACACCTTCATAAAGCTGCTACGCTTTTACTCAAAGAGGGGGGAAAGAGGGAGATAAAAACGTGACTCATTTCATACGAAAACTTGTCGGTGCACAAGATCACATCTCACTAAAGCATCACCCTGCCAAATGAGAGGTACGGCCGCAGCATGAAATGGGAGACACGTGAAAATGGAGACAAGAGTAGATGATGCAGTTAAGTCAGGGGCATGTGGTATGCGTGAAGCACCCAGCCCCGTATCCGACTCTCCGAGACCCTCTTGAGTAAGGCTGACTCAGCTTTTACTATGCTGGGAGCATATGTGTATGTGCGTGCATGTGGCAGCAGTTATCACCCCCCCCCCTTCTCTCTCTCTCTCTCTCTCTCTCTCTCTCTCTCTTCACCTCTACCTCTGCAGTACCTCTCTTGCTCATTCCTCCCTGTGCCGGCTGGGGAGACGCGCGCTCTGCTTTAATGCCCCCGCTGCTGGCTCTCCTCCAGCATCCCTCCGTGCCTCTCGAGTGCTCTCCTACCCACCCACCCAGTGCAGCCCATGTCTCCCCCTCTGGGCTTCTGCTGGCCAGCCTGATTCCCCCAGCTGCTGCTGCTGCTGCTGCTGGAGCTGGAGCAGTGGAGCTGTCTGACGCTACGCCGCTGTACGCCGCCGGCTGCTCTTCTCTGCTCTGCCTCGCTTCTCCTCTTCTCCGCCTTTCGCCTCACGCTCTCCTTGTGCCGGATAATCACCACCCGAGTCCGCAAGAGACAGCGACAAGGGGACAGGAAGGGAGGGGAGAGAAAAGAGAGAGCTAGAGAGAGAGGGAGAGAGAGAGAGGGAGAGAGACGGGGGAGCCTGCGCTGTTTTCTTTCAACTGCTGCATTCTTCTAGTTTGTGCCTCCCTGGGCTTTGCTGGAGTGCAGCGCAAGAGGGGACAACTGGTCGGGAGAAAAGCTCCCTGAAGGAATTTATCCTCCTCTCTTTGCGCTCCCCTCTGTTCATTTCTGGGACAGAGGGAAGAGGAGGAGAGAAGAGGGAGGGACTGAGAGCGGGACTTCAGAATCAGCTGCACAGCTCAGTGTCTCACCTTGCTCCAGAGAGCCATATCACAAACAAGCACACACACACACACACACGCATATATTTTCATAGATTGGAGTCACAGTTCAGGCTGACCAGACTGGCAGACGGGGAGAGAGGACACATAGGCAGACAACACAACACAGACAGACAGACTTGGTGTCATGGCGTCAGTGGACAGCACCGGTTCGGGTGTCTCTGGTCGGCTGAGATCAGGGGATCTACTTCATCCCGGTTTGGTAGTTGCACTGCTGCTCGGTGAGTTATACTTCTCTCTATACCTTCAGCTGCCCTGTCATTCCTCACTCTTCCACTAAAGCTCTGCATTACACCAGAACATTGTACTTCTGTCCTCTTCAAGACACTTTCATGCCAGCTTACTGTTGGGTAAATCCCCTCTTACTTTCCATACATATGAACTTGTTTATATGCCCTCTACACCTTCCTCTTGCTGGCTTTGTTTCAGTGTTTTCTGTGCGGGCCTCGGTTGGTGGTTTACGGCTGTCACAGAAAATCCATAAATATATTTTTTATTACTCCATACCAACATCTGCTGTTCCGTCTCCTACGCTTTGGCTCTCCTGTCTTATCATCTACTTTCCACACCTGCAGGCTAAAATGTACAGTGATGTCACAGGTGATGTTTACTTGTTGCCCTACTGAGGGCATCAAGGTCAGTAACATCCAACCCTTTGGCTGATCTGAACTTGGACATATTAAATATCTGGCTGCTGAGCTGGATGAGTGACGGGCTAAATGTCTCTTCATGCAGGGTTAGGGTTAGGTATGGTGCAATTTTCCAGGGAAAAAAGAATGAAAGGTAAAGAAAGAAAAAACATCTCAGAGTATAGAAAAACATTAGAGCTACAGCTCACATCCGTGTGTGTGTGTGGTTGTAGTATTACTGGCAGTGACGTAGTGATGCAGTGGTGATCTGTGCTTTTGCTCAAACATTGCCTGGTTTTGTTGTAGCACCCAATAGTGCCCCACCATCCCAGCATTCCCTCCTAGATCTCAGTCTTGAAACTCGGCACAGTTCAGTACAGTTCAGTTACAAAACCAGGACCAAGGGTTAAAACTTCATATCAGTGTAATCCTTAAGTGAACAAGGTAATCAGTTAGGACATTTCATATTATGCTGATGTTTAGGTCCATTCTACAAGATAATGCCAACAATTACAACGAAATGTTAATTGAAGAAATAGGTTAAAAGAACAGTTATAGGCCTGTATGTGGCATTTTACTTTTTAAAAGACAAATGAAAATAAGCCCCAAGTTGTGTTCTTGGAACTGCATTACTCATCCTCAAAGTATTGCTCATGATTCACATAGAGATGCCACATTATGCAAGTCCTCATTATAACAGGACCACCAACAAGACTCAGAAGACAGACTAGTCCACACACCAAATATACTAAAACTGTAAAAATCTGTAATCCAAAAAGTTCCTGGATATGCAAACACAAAGTCACTGTCACTTCAGTCCTAGCATTAAACTACTTTTATGAGCAACAGTCTATGGTGCCATATGTGCATGTGTATATATATATATATATATATATATATATGGGATTATGCAATACCTTTTTGTAGAGAATAAACAACAGAAAATGTAAAGCGCTGTGGTGCAACAAGGCAAACAAACACAGAGCATTCGAAGTGCAGCATTGTAATGTGTCCAATCTGCCGAGCTCATGTTTTAGTTGCTCTGGCGGGATCTGGTCAGGTTAAACCCAAAAGTTTATTTAATATCAGGGGTGTTTATATGATAATTGATGGAGGAGCGTCACTAGTCCAGATTTGAAAAGTTACACAAGTGTAAATCTAGTCTGCAGCGCTCACGAAACTCAAACTCCAATCATCAAACCAGGCAGGGCTGATCAAATATGAATCAAGATTCTGTTGCTTTGCCCATTTCTCGCCTCAAATGTATTCAGACGTTCAAACGTTCCAGTGTAGTGTTTAGCTGCAATTTAAGAAGGTTTGTGAATAAGTTGACATTTTTTTACTGCTTGAAAACAGACCAAGCACTGCCTCAACTTGCATGTGTCGTTTAGTGCTACCTCACATGTTTCGTTGCTCTTCTTGGTTGAAGGTCTATACAGTTTTGCCAGATTGGTCTGCACCAGTTGATTACGCCTCTTGGTAATCAAAAATTAATTGAGAGGAATGCCAGGTTAATAAAGTGGGTATTAAACTAATAATACCACTGTAACTAACAACAAGGGCAAATTTCATGAAGCAGGTTATCTGTATTACTTTGCTGAGTACATTACATATTAGTCCATACTCCAGATTTTAGGACTTTCTGGGTTTTCAACAAAGTTATCCTAAAGTAACTTGTACTACTAATCTACCAATCCTGCTTCATCAAATAGGCCACAAATTGTACCACACAGGGGTTAGTATAGTGTGGAGTTGGATGACAGTTGTGTTGCTTCACCCTTGGGGTTAGTTGCTGTTGTAATGAGAAGGTCACCTCCTTTTATTTTGTTTGTAAATGCTACAAGGTCTGGTCAATTCTGATGCAGTTGAGGAAAGATAAGATAGATAAGATTTAATTTCAAAGATAAAATGACTGAATAAAATCAGTAGAATTGCCACCATAAAGTTAAATGTCCTAGCCCTGTGTTGTAACATGGTATTTTACATGTCGCAGGCCAAACGAGGGCTTAAAAGTAACAAAAACAATCATCATTTGGTTGTGCATGTGGAAGTTAACGATCCCTGGTGTGCCGACAGGGTTTTAAAAGGACACACTCCTTTGTAGAGTTCTAGAGTTCTAGTTCTTGTTCTAAACAACAAGTCCCTTATTGTCACCCAATTATCACCATTCGCTCACTGTCATCATCTCATTTGTCGCAGTATTGTCCATATACATTCTTCCATATTACAGTAATATATTTTTGTCTATTTTTCATTCATAAATGTTCTGTTTTTGACAGTATGTGTTTATTTATTAACATGCACATTAAATAAATGTTGAAATTATAGGCCTCCATAGAAAACCACAGCCTTAATTCTATTCCTAGATTCCAATAATCTTTTTCAAAACATTGCAGCAATCTCTCCCAACAGACCCTTTCTCAATGGTAAATGAAGCCAGGGAAAACACAAATGAAACAAAGCCCCAGCCAAAGCCAGACGTGGGGGAAATAAGCATGAAATTTGGAAGATATTTAATCTTTTGCAGGTCCATTAAAGGTCCTGCTTTTCTGATTAACAATAAACTCCTTATATGTAATCATTTATATTTTTGATACAATAGTCAGAGATATAATATGTGAAACATAACTTACTGTTAGGTCTGTTCTTGGAATTGTATTATTCATCCTCAAAGTATCGCTCATTATTCACATACAGATTCCACATTATACAAGTCCTCATTATAACAGGACCACCAACCAGACTAGTTCAGCCCCAAATAAACTTGAATAATTTCCTGGATATGCAAACACGCAATCACTGTCACTTCAATCCTAGCATTAAACTATTTTCATGAGCAACAGTCTATGGTGCCATATGTGCATGTATATATATATATATATATATATATATGTGATTATGCAATACCTTTTTGTAGAGAATAAACAACAGAAAATGTAAAGAGCCGTGGTCCAACAAGGCAAACAAACGCAAAGAAGCCCAGGTTACAACACAGCAATTACCAGTAACATTTCATCAATAGTTAGCATGTAATTGTGACAATTACACCGCATGATATTACATGTTTGCTCGGCTATCATATTACATAAGTGTGTATCTGTATGTGTATGTGCAGTGTAAAGATGACCCCACCCTGGCCACTGTTGATTGAGTTACTTAACTGCTGTTGTAATTCTCCATCCTGCTGTCACTCCTTCACCTTGGAAAAGACATCTCACTCCCCTCACCTCTCCCTATCCTTCCCCTCGTGACCCCTTCCATCACTTCCTCCACACTGTACCACCTTTATTGCTCCTGCTCCCCCATCCATCTCTCTCCTCTATTCTCCTCCTCCCTGTCTATTCCCTCCCCTCTCCCTTACCCTTTCTATCACTTCTCTCTCTCCCCCTCTCTCTCTTTCTCAGAGAGGTAATAGTGTCCTCGGTCAGTTCTCTATGGGTTCACTCGGAAATACATTAACCCTTCAATCTTTGGCCTACTTAAAAAAAAGTCACCTTGACAGTCAGCCAAGGACACACACACACTCAGACACACACACTTAGTTGCATTTCCTCCCATCAGTGATTCAGATATTGACGTTTCCCTACTGGGACAAAGAGATATTTGATAGTAGAGCTAAAAATATCATACATTCCAGCCTCATGTACGCACACACACACACACACAAAATGGACAACTAACATTGAACGTTACTATAGTATTTGAACCTGTGGGTGTGGAGAGAAAAAAGGATAGTAGAGAGCAGAGGTGTAACACGAGGGAGGTGTAAAATCTATTTCAAGGCCTAGGGGGGTGGGGGGGAACACTCCTCTCAGATATGTAAAACATCATTCCAGTGTGGATAGACACACTGCGTATGCCATTTAGAGGGGAATTTTATTCTCACTTGTTTCGCTTTGCATCATTATTCCCTTTGCAGCACTTAGTTACAAACCTAGCTCAATGGCATTGTGCCAGTAAATGTTGATAGAGGATAACATTGTATTATTATTATTAATTAATCTACTTACCAGTTTAAAAGGCACTCAGAGGAGTAAGCCAGCTACAGAAAACATTTAACACCTTAAAGATGTCATTGGCCCTGTTTACTCCTGGCATTAACATGACATGATGGCATTGAGGACGCATTTTGATCTGATCGTTCAGACCTCATTCGGAGGAGGTCTTGGCTGCATATGGCCACATTCTTTTAGCAGTGTGTAGATGGACGTGTCCTGGGCCACTGTGAAAGACGCCTATTTAACTGACAATCTCTGCATAAGCGGAAGTACATACTCATTCATGCGCCAACGGCATTATATTGTGCAAAACAACAAGAAGGAAAATGGATCCTACCGGATGTTGTACACACCAAACACACTGTCTGCTTTCAGTTTGGGCCAAAGAGTCAGTACAAAAGAACAAAGAAACAGTTTTTGCACATTTCCAGCAAACTGGACAATTGCTGTCTTTATTAGCATATATTGCGGGGGAATGAGATCTGATCACAAGTGAGACACGTGTGGTGACGCATTCTAATTCCAGGTGTGAAGTGGCGTACTTAGAGCGGTCACCCAAGACACATGTTAATACCAGGTGAAGACATGGCTATTGATTCCACCGCTGTTCCACACCAAAACAGACACAAACATACACAGACCAGCTCCCCACATCTCTCCTTTTCTTATTTAGTTATAGCGTCCCTGAGGAGCAAGTTCAGAGAGCGAGCGAGACAGAAAGATTGAGGGGGAAAAAATTGTGAGAGAGAAAGTGCCCAGCACTGCAAAAAAGAAAAAAGAGTAGTAAGAGTCCATTAAAAGAGAGCAGAAGCATAAACAGAAAAAGAACAAGGAGAACCAGAATGGCCCGAGTTGCTACTGAAAGTAGAAGAGACGAGTCAAGATGACAACAGAGGAGGGATAAAAATATATTGGTTGTTAGAAGAGAAGAGGAAAGGGCTGAGACTGAGAAGACAAAAGAGCAAATTTAGAAAAAGAAAAAGTACAACCAAAGCATACACGCTGATATAATCATGTACTTTTATTGCAACATTCAGAGATTTAACACTTCTCTGTCATATCAACTTGACAGCTACTAGAAAATTGTTTCTATACATTTATTATTTAGGCTGTGTGCGCAATCTTATCCAGTTTGTTTTTCACTTGATACTTGACTGACCAGATCTGTTCACCACTTTCTGATCATTTCCCTCATTTCTCAAGTACTGAATTGGCAATAGGGATGGCTGCATTCACATACTTGCATTTACAGTTTTCTGCGTGTGTGTGTGTGTGTGTTTTTTAAACACCCCTGTTATTGTCATAATCTGAGAGAATACTGAAAAAGCACAACAGGGTCTGAAAGCTATCAAAACAGGAAAAACAAAGGAAATGAAAGAGGGGAAAAATAATCTACTCTATGCGGACCTACCATATTTATCATATTTATCATTCTCACCCATTAACTGATCATGACGATGTTGATTGCACACTAAGCCTTCCACACACTGCAGTAAATTACTAATAACTAATGACTGGGTCATTTTTGTTCTCACACTCTGGTTGACACTGTATATTAGACAGAGAAAATCTTAGGTTGAAAAGTGTTTTAAGGGCAATGTGATTCTAGTACCTCTAACATAATATTGATTTTTAGAAATGTTCTTTGGTTAATTCATTGTAGATATTGTCTTTTTATCCCACACTGCCTTGTTATGCCATGACACTGAAAAATATTTTTTTCATTATTCTATATATTTTTAACAGTTGCACTTGGTGCTTCAGTGCTTTGTTAAATACTGATGTCTCACAGAGCTGCAAAGCAGGTGGTGTCAAATTCTTATATTGATGTAAGTCCTTCACAAACATATAGGCATACATGTACTAGGACACTGTTTGCACCATGTCCAAGTGCAATGTGATCCTGAACAGGTCAGTGTAGAGAAGAGTGTTTATAAATAGTCCCCAAGTGTGTGAGAGACACCAGAGCAACAATCTGAGAATTATACCAGCTGTCCAACATAACCCGCCTGGCAAAAACCAAATACCATTAAGAGATAAACTGTCTCTTTTCAAACTGTTACCGTGTGTTTTCTGCTTTGCACAACGTCACAGGACACCGATAATAGTCTATTAAACTGGGTTGATGTTTTTGTTTTGATTTGGGAGCATTTCTGTCTCGCTGTTCATGTTGGTTTGTTCATATGTCAATCACTCGTAGACAGTCAGTCAGTTCCCCACCGTGAGGGCAGCGGTGGCTCAGGAGGTAGAGCGGGTCGTCCACTAATCAGAAGGTTTCAATCCCAGGCTCCTCCTGCTGCATGTCAGAGCATTCCTTGAGCAAGATACTGAACCCCCAAATTGCTCCTAATGCTGTGCATGGGTGGATGTATGCGTATGAATAAGTATTATTATTATTATTATTATTATAATTATTATAATTATAAACAATTACTATTTCTGTTTGTGTTTCTCACTGTATGAATGTGTGTAAAATGGGTGGTGAATGCGGAATGTAGTGTAAAGAGAGTGGTCGGAAGACTAGACAGGCACTATGCAGTACATTTACCATTTAGGTCTGGTCACCTTGTTTGGTGTGCATACAGTAAATGCACTGATAGAAATGAATAAAGAGCAGATATAAATAGAGAGGGTTTTACAGAGGTGTGAACTGAAGTCACATGACTTGTGACTATCTCACTCTTAGTCATAACTTAGAAGATGACTTCAGACTTCACAATCAAAAAGGCCTTGCCAGTGACTGGTCTTTACTTTGAGCCATGTGTCTTTAAACAGTATGTCTGTTCAGGTTTTTTACTGTACAGTTCTCAAGTCAAGACCAGCACTAGTGTGTGTAAATGATGACTTATGATCTAAGGAATATTAACAAAATTTATAAGAGTATTGTATCATATTATCATAGGTTATATAATATGTAGCAAATAGCACAGCAGTATACATTAAAAAGATTATCTATGAATGAAAAAGAATGTATGACTGTGCAAGAATGGGCACATTTTAAACTATGAATACATTAACCATTAGAGGACAATTACCCATTCAGTTTTCACTTCTTATTTTTTTTTATCAAGTGCTGTGACAGGCATTCATGGTTCAGGTAAAAGTGTATGTACATTGTTCTATGACTGTGTTGGTGTTTATATATTTTGAAAATTGAATGAAATTTTAGATTCCATGTCCATTTTGCTTTGTTTTGGCTTTCAAAAGGCTGCGGCATTGATTATGGCCACATCATCAGCCATAATAATGTCTGTTTGGTTTTCATCACTATAAAAAATAAAAGTGGAGTAGTGGAGAAGAAAGCTGTCATTTCATGTGCAGTACTTACAGTAAGTAAGCTACTTAACTTGGTAATGCCATTACTTATCAGCCTAGCCTAGCCCAGCAAGCCAGTAATATGTGTATACCCATTACTTTATCCCTTGTCATTTTTGCCCTAAAAATGGATTTGAGACTGATGTTAAATTTACCCACTGACTGTACTGTATATGTGCTGTACTATGCATTTACTCTCCTTTTCTGTTTTATGTCTGTGTTTTTATGTTTATCAAAACCACCGTTTTCTGTGCTTTTTTTCCCCTTAACCCTTTCCTTTCTCCCTTGGTCCAGGCGTATGGAGTGTTGGTGGACTGGAGGTCTCAACAGGTAAAGTGTCTTCAATTGAAGCAATGAATGGCTCCACAGTCCTGCTGCCCTGCACCTACTCCTCCTGTATTGGCATCAAAAACCTCTTCTTCAGCTGGCGCTATAATGACAATGGAACCATGCAACCGGTACAGCACACATACATACACACACACAGGAATAAGCAACATGGACATACTGCACCGTACAAACACAAAAATGGCCTTTATTGGCCATATCCGAGTTGCATGCCTCAGATACATTTTACACATGCTGAAGTAGATCTGCCTGCATATGGAATTACATCTGACTACCTATCTCTGTGTATCTAAAGTACATACGTGTGTGTGCGTAGTTATGTCAAGCAGTGATTCCCATTGAGGGCGTGGAGCCCAGGGTCGCTGTGTACCACGAGCGTGTGGAGTTTGTCGGCTCCTCGAAAAGCAACAACATCTCCATCCTGCTGTGGAACATCACCTTTGAAGATGAGGGAGACTACATCTGTTTCGCCAGGAACCCAAAAGAAAAGAACCGCAACCACAGTGCTGTCTTCACTCTTATAGTCGTGGACCAAAGTATGTGACACACACACACACACTTGACCTGGCACACCTTCAGACAGATTAAAAAAAATGGTGGAAGAATGATTAAGTTTCCCGTTGCTAGTGAATCTCACTCTTTCCTTTCTCTGCTTTGCTTACGTCATTTCTCATAATGTCTTCCCCTCTCTCCCTCTTTTCAGTGAAGGAGGTTGACAACACTTTGACAACCATCATTGTCTCAGTGCTGGGTGGAGTCATTGGCTTAGTTATAATTGTCATGGTGATAAAGGCCTTGGTTGTTCACTTCCTGCTGAAGGATGATGAGAAGAAGTGAGTAGATCATTGACTGTGTTAACTGACATTGAGGACAATTTAAGAAGAGTATATCAATATACTTGATTATGGACAGTAGTAGATACAAGTAAACTCAGACATGCATTGTCTGATGCGTCTTAACTGGGTTACTATGACCCTGGACTATTGCTGCCCATGTTAAACCTTCAGTGTGGAACTTTTGTCTCCCCCTTCTGGCAGTTAGAATAACTACACAAACACTGTCAACGCATGCTTATGACGTATGACTACTTGTGAGTTTGCCCCCATGTCCAGGGCTCTCTTCAAAATTTCCTTTGCAAAAAAGGGCGGAGGGGAAAAAACATCAACTTATGGAGTTGTCAGATGGGGTATATATGCCAGAAACGTAGCCAAATTGCTGAGACAGGAAAGTCCAAGGCATGTTTAGAAATAGTTACAAAAATCCAGAGAAATGACCACAGTTCCAAGATAATAATGCATTATTTAGGCATTTAGAGTAAATGTAATACCTACATACATTAAATATTTTACCATCTTACCAACCTGTCCATGTGCAGTAATGCAACATCACATGTAACAGACGTCCATTTACATGTAAAAGTCCTGCCGTCTAGCTTTAACAGTACATTTCATAAAACTTATCCATAAACATGATTTGTGGTGCAGAACCAGTTGCAAAAATAACAACTGCCTATCTGACAGAAAAAGAAAGACAAATGGCATCTCTGCTTTGTCTTTTCACATCTATCCCAACTGTTGTGTCAGCAGCGAGTTGCAAACCACATATCTATTTATGAAATATAATACTACGTACAAAGAGTGGCTAGACGCATTAAGTTGTCAGGTTTTAAATGAGTTCTTCTGAGCTTTCAATTAACTTATTTGATATAGGTTTCAACAAAATCTTGTGTCCCCTCCCATGTGCCTCTCTTTACGGGTGTACATCTTAACCTCTGGCTTCTCTATCCCCTGCAGTAAAGAGTGCCTGGTGAGCTCCTCAGGGAATGACAACACAGAAAATGGACTTTCAGGAGCCAAAGCTGACAACAAAGGGACACCAAAGGCATGAGCGAAATGCAAAGTACGTCTGTATGTTTGTATATATGTTAGACAAATGTACACGCTGAGAGGAAATGCTGTTATCAGTGGACTGTTTTATCTTACTAGTGGCTAACTAATACAACATGTAAATGCCTATTTTAAATCATGCTTGAGATTTTGAAGTGTGGGATGTGCACAGGCCTGGATCACTCTCTCACCTATGGTAGCCCATTTGTTACGCAGTGTAAAGCCTCTGATCTACATCCTACTGGGACCTAAGACTTTGTCTCCAGTAGAGCTTCAAGTAAACCACTTACAGTATTGTAGTTTGTCAAAAACCCTTGTTGACATTTTCTCATTCAGGTTACACCTTTGAAGAAATTACACTTCTTGCTTAACTTTGAACTTTCTATAACTACAACTAGTAACTATTACATCACTTTAGAGGAAGAACCATGTAAAGAAGATCCTCACTTGTTTTAAATTCTTTATTTATAGACTTCATTTCAATATTCAACTGCCAAAATACAGTCTCAGTCTACAGTTTGAGTTGACAAGCTACAATCTGTTTGATTCTTGGGGCTCTCGCGTGTAATCCACAACTCTGAGTCAAACTTGGACCCAAACCTGAGGACAAACCACTTTGATCCCATGATGCATTGCCACAATATATGAACTGCCATAAGAACTGATGAACGGCACATAACTGCTGAAATGCTACTCTCTAAAGCCCTCACCTGGCACGGACGCAGATCCACCTGTAAACCCAAACCAGAGGACCATTCTACAAGACTTTTGTTTGCAAGTGTAAGTCAACATTTTTCAGTCATAATTGAATACAAAAGTACTTAATATTCTAAGTTATTAAATCTGGAAAAGATGCATTTTTTGACACTGCCTGTAAAATTGCATTTTAACATTTAAGAATTAGGTATTAATACTGTAGCACTGATGGGACAGTTTAAATACAGCTTACTCTTTTTGTGAGTAGCTAGCAAACTATTTCTTGGTTTGCTAGAGGTATTTATTTATTTATTGGTCCAAATATAACCACCAACCTTAACTACTGCCACGGTAGTCTGAAGTTCAGCTTCCATGTTTACTGCTGGGTCCAGGTTTGACGCGCTGCTGTGGTGCTTCGGTTCACTCATTCTGTCGGAAGATTCTGATCAACAACGGTCTAGCTAAGGCTGACAACTGGGCTTATTTCTTAGGAGACTGAAGGATCCAGTTCTGCACAGGTTTTTATTGTTTTGCTTTAGATGAAACACAGGTGCCTGTTCTGCTTCTGCTCCCCCTGCTGGTGGGAAGATAAAAACACAGAAAATATATTAAAAAAAAAAAAACAACCAACCCTAACCCTCATCAAAGACAATCCCCAGACTACCCAGCTCCCTATAGAAAGGAATGAACTTAATCATGCTGCTTCTGACAAATAACCAATGCATTTTTAGCATGTGCGCATTTTATATAACTTCATATAAGTATACGTTGTCTAGCACTGCAGTGCAGGAACATTTCTGTGTGTCTCTGTATGGTCCCATTTAACCCTTCACATCAACCTCAACTGACCGACTGGAGCTCTGTCGATGCTCAATAAGCACCTCCCAACACTTCTAAAACTTTTTTTAACCCCTTTAACCAGGTCAGGGTGATTGCAAGGTGACTTGTTTTCGAGTAAGGGCCTGCAGGTATTTGTGGGAAAGAAAGGGTGGATGACATTTTATCTCTAAATTCAAATCATACAGTTGAACAACTCTGCTGGAGAAGTTTAAAAAAGTTGGCACTCTGCTCAGTGGCACATCAGCAGGATATACTGTAAGTGAGGAGAGCAACATAGTGTATGCAATCCTCTGGATACCAATTCACTTCCACATTTTCACATTTGTATGCAGACCCCAACCCAATATAAACTTACCGCAAGAAAATACTTTTACACGCACGTATTTAAAATTGTGCTGAAATAGTGCAAACACGTCCATTGACACTGGCTCAGTAATACAGGGAGCACAGCATGGGGACTGATCACTTCAAAAGAATGTAAAGACTCTGTCAGGGAATAGATGTTAAATATAAATATAGTCCAAAAAGTATGTTGATGTTATTATCAAATGAATGTGTTAATATTCCAATAGGAAAGTGGTTCATTTTTCTTTGTCAACTCTTATTTGGTGTGACTCTACAACAAGCCAATAAGTTCAGTGTTTTGCTCAGTTCAAAGTTCAGATTAGCCAACAACTACTTTCTGTGACTGTATCTAAATATTTTGAGCATTTAATATTATATGAAGTTTGTGTTGGGTTTCTAAATAGTACTGCTGTCTTGGCACTAAAAAATATATAGTTTTTATTAAAAGTACAGAAAAATATGTGTGTGAAGGTTTGGAGGGAGTCGGGAGTTGTTGAGAGTAAATCAGAAAAGGAAAAAATATAATATAAAATACAAGTTTAAATTGCAGAACATGTTGAATCTAAACATCTTGTAACATTTTAGGAGTAATCACGTTTTGTTGAAGGAAAAGAAAAAGAGAGGAACAGTCAACAAAGTCTTTAAAATGTCACTTCTACTTCATCTTGTGATAAGTCAGTGTGAGTGAACTTGTGCTAAGATGTCCACTGGAAACTAAAACCCGCTCTCTGTGTGACTCTCAGTACAAGAGGTCACTTCTGGGACGCTGGAAGACATGACCTGCCACACCCTCATACATAGCTTGGATAGCTATTGACAGCTGAAAGCTACACACAAACACACACACACACACACACAAAGAGCCACT